CCCCAAAACCCCAAAACCCCAAAACCCCAAAACCCCTGAATATTATTTTTTATTGGATCTAAAATACAAAATATAAATGAAATACATTATCCTCGAGTTACTATTCTTAACTTGAGTAATCTGAGCAACTTACCCAGCCACATCCGCAGTGGTAGGCCAAGAGATAGACCCATCACTAAATTGTCATCTCTACTCTGAGTTCAAGGCTGCTTGTCTCTCCTCAGAGCTAAGCACAGATGAAGAAACATGTAAATGTCATGAGGAGTGCGAAGCACTTTGAGGACTATCTCAAAAATGAGATTATACTAATGGAGTAGCTTGCTGATATGAATATGGCAATGGGGTAGTTGAGTGACAGGAAGGTTGAGATGATGGCAATTTAGTAGATGAAGACGGATGTAATAGTAATATGGTTATAGAGGCAGGGTTTGAATGAGAGGGTGATAATCCTACTACATGAGATCTAAAATCTAACAGTTTATGACCTAATGGGAAAACTGAGTCAGAAGAGGAATGAGATGATGGTAATTCCACTGATGGAGATGGATGATCCAAAAACTGTAAGATTGAATCTGGATATCAATGATTTGGTCTTACTTCTTCATGAAACCTCATCTGTTCCAACTCTGTTATTGATTCTCAAGAGCAATGAGATGACGGAAATACTATCGATGATGATGGATGAAGCAGCACATGACAAGTCGAGTCTGGATGGGAGTGAGACACATCAGTATCCCCAACCACTTGAAATAGGATATGATCGAATGGAAAGATTGACTCTGGAGAGAATTGTGATGATACAAACTTATCAGACTCTGATGGCTGAAGTAGTACTTGACAAATTGAATCAAACTATGAATGTAGCGGAGTTCCTTCAACATGCAATCTCATCTGATCAAATTCAGTCATTGACTCAGGAGAACAATGAGATGATGGAGGCACTCAGAGCGGTGACGGGTGAGATAACAATTGTCAGATTGAACCTGGATATGAGTGTAACGACACTCCTTCAAACTGCAATCTGATCTGATCAAACACTGTCATTGACTCAGGAGAACAGTGAGATGATGGAAATATTGCAGATGGAGATGGTTGAAGCAATACTTGATTGATTGAGGCCGACTATGAATGCAGCGGAGCTCCTTCAACGTGTAACCTCATATGCAGCAATGGTAATAACGATGTTGGTGAACAGTGAGACGATGGTAATACTAGCAATGGTGATGGCTGATCAAGCTCTTGCCAGATCGAATCAGGTTATGAGTGAGATAATGAGGTAACCCCAAACACATGAAACCTCATCTGAACAAATGGAATCATTGATTCAGGTGAAGCATGCGATGACCAGAACATAATTGATGGAGATGGTTGCAACCACAGCTGACAAGTCGAAGCCGGCTGGGAGTGATTAAACCAGCCATCCAAGTGCAACCTCGTTTGAACCAACGGTAGAATTGACACTGGTGAAACCTGTGATGATCAAAATAGTATCGATGGTGATGGCTGAGATAATGCTTGCCAAGTTGAGCCAGACTGGGAGTGCTTTGGAGAGCCTTCTCAATGAAGTCTCAAATGAGTGAATGGTAAACTCGATGACTCGGAGCAGTGAGACGACAACAACCTTACAGGTAGTGATGGATGTTCAGCGCTGTGTAAAATTGAGACTGGGTATGAATGCACTGGAGAGCCTTCAGTGTGAACTCCAATATGAGGTGATGGAGCCATTCTTGGAACAGAACAGTGTGACGATGCCAACACAATAAACAAAGATGGTTGATCAGATCAATGCAAACAAGAAGACTTCCACACTTGCTTGGGCGAACCCTCAGTGTGTAACAAAACAGCAACGCCTGTTTTTGCCACTTCAGAAGCTGCAGCTGGAACGAGCTTCCAAGCTGGGATAGGATCTAGTGTAGCGCTGGGTAGTGTTGCATCGATGTTCTTGAACATTCCCACCGATGGAATCTGGACTCTGATCAATGCTTTACAAATTCTACACTACATGCCAATGTTGAAACTGTATTTCCCACAGAACATCCTGAAAATGTTCTCGTTCACAGGTATGGTTAATATGGAAAACCAAATGCTTTCAAATATTTTTCTACTACATGTGGATACCAACCAAATTAATGACAAAGGCCCACTTGATTACAGGTTTGAAAATCAAGGTTACGAATCTACTAGCATCTTGCTCAACAGTGCAGACTCGTTTGCATTTCTGACACTGCTCACATCGTACTACGTTTGAGTGCTGATTCTATACTTTGTCATGAACTGTTTTCAAGTAGGACAGTGGAACAAAGATAAAACAAGTTGAATAACCCTAAAATTATGGAAATTCGTGAGTTCAGTCAAAGAAAAGCTCTTTGTTAATACTTTGTTTCGGATCTTGTTCGAAATCTTTCTAGACATGTTCTTTTGAAGTGTTCTCAATTTAGCATATCTTCAATATTCGAGCAGCATGGATATATACTCAAGCGGCCTTTCATTAGTATGCATTCTTGCAATGATTTCATTTGCACTGGTGGCATGTGCTTTGTGTTTGATCAGGATATTCGCTCCAAACAAACTCACACCTTGAAGTGACGACATTATCATGCCTCACAAAAGCTTGGATGTTTTGTTTGAAAACTTCAATCCTGAAAAGAAATATGCTCCACTGTTTCACATCATATTTCTAGTTCAGAGAATGGTACTTGGGGCAGTGATTGTATTGGTGAGGTTCTCAGGGATGGTCCAGGTTGTGGCATGTGCTTTTATGTCTCTCTTAAAAATACTGTTTCTGTTGATTATCAGACCGTTTACAAACCCATACTTAAATTTTCAAGAGGTATACTCCGAATTCGTGTTGATGCTAACTAGTCTATTCTTTATGCATTTCAAAGACATTTCTACTGAGTTTGCAAAGACTGGACCACCAATGATGACTGGGTATGCATGAATACTATTACTGATATCTATCTTGATTGTTCATTACATTTTAATGCTAATTCAAGTATGCTCAAAGTTCAAAAAGAACTCTAACAAAGTTCGTGATGACTCTGTGTTTGCAGTTTCAAAGAATTCAGTAATCAGAGACTTTATGAGTAATAAAGGAACCAACGAAGCAAGCAGTACAAGTGTGGTAACAAGAAGCAATTTACCAATCCATCGGATGTGGATTGGAAGCAACAATGGGATAGGATCAAACATTAATCCACAAAAAGGTAACACATAATGATCCATTAACATAATATAGAGGAGCGAAAATACTCTCAAGACGATTTACAAGTCAAAGAAATTACAATATCAGACCTAAGAAACGTCTAATCTCTCTTTTAAATCCAATCTTCAACCATAATCCCCTCTCTAGGGGTTTTGGGGTTTTGGGGTTTTGGGGTTTTGGGG